AACAGTAAGTCTCATGATTGTTTTGGCAAAGAATCTCCCAAGCAGAAGGAACAGCAAGTGCAGAGTCACTGAGGCTTGCTTGGAGACGACAGGTATAAGCAAGAGTAAGGAGTAAGGAGGAGCTGGCATGAATATACATGCTGATTTCACCACAGCTTTGTCAATCATCCATCCATCCATCCATCCATCCATCCATCCATCCATCCATCCATCCATCCAGTTGAGACAGGGTCTCATGCATATCTATCTATCTATCTATCTATCTATCTATCTATCTATCTATCTATCTATCTGAGACAGGGTCTCATGCAGCCTCAGTTGGTCTCAAACTTGCCATGTAGCCAATGATGATCTTGAGTTCCTGGTACTCATTCCTTAGCCACTCAAGTGCTGGGTCTAAAGGTTTGCACCACCATGCACAGTGACTTGCTCCTGAGTCTGGTGGGGTCGGGGGTAGCTTCTGTATATCAGGCACACTAATGAACCTCACTTCCACCCCTTTGGCATTTGTTTTGTATAATTTCTGTTGTGAACAGAATCCAGGTGGCATTTTCTTTGTTTATGCCATTGAGTTTTAAAGTTTGCCAATGGGAAAGCAAGGTTCAAAAAAAGTAAGAACAGATTTTTAAAAAATGAAGCTTGCTAATACAAACTACATATTAGCAAAATTAACAGCCAAGCCAGACCTGGAGGCATAGGCTTGTAATTCCAACTATGTGGAAGGCTGAGGTGGGTAGATCACAAGCCCAAGGCCTACCTGGGCCACAGAGAAAGTTTAAAGCCAATGAGGCAACTTAATGAGAATCTGTTCCAGAAATAGAAAGCTTCATCTTTTTAGAAATAGAAAGGTCTGGAGCTATAGCGCACTGGGAGAGTGTTCATCTAGCTAGGACTGGTGAGGCTTTGATTCAGTTCCTAGTATCATGCACACACAATAAAGCATAGTCAAGAATTTCCTTATTCGGTGCTGGACATCAGACCCAAGCCTTGTGCATAGTAGGCAATCACACTGCCAACTGAGCTACGCCCCTAGTTTACAGTCCAGGAGTTTTTGAAAATAAGAATAATATTCATATTTTTATATTTAATATTTTATTAATTAAATTTGCTCTTTTACTTCACATCCTGATCACATGGGAACCTATTCCCCATACTGGGTTGCCCAAGTGGAGGAGCTTACCTCAACTTATGCCATGCTTTGTTGATACCCATGGGAGGCCTGCTCCTTTCTGAATATGGCATATTTGTCCTAACAAATACTGAAATATAGTTGAAAATCATAGTCAAGGGGCTCCAGTGGTTTGTTAAGTAAAATAAGGGTCCCTCAAAGATACCCATATCCTAATTCACAGAACCCTGGAACACGTTGAAGAGAAATTGAAGTTGCATGTGGAATTAAGGTAGCAAAACCTTAAAATAGAGATCATGTTGCTTATCCTGATGATTCCAATGTCACCATTGTGGTCTTTATAAGTGGGATGTAGACAACAGTCTGAGAAAGACGACAGAAACAAAGCCAAAGAAATGTTATGTTGTTGGCTTTGAAGATGCAAGATGAAAGCCATGAGCCAAAGAAGGTGGGCACGAAATGCTTTCTTTGGAGTGCAGCCCTGCACCTTGCTTTTAGTCTAGTGAGATTTGTGCTGGATTTCTGAACTACAGAAGTGTGGGATAATATATTTTTGATTCTTTAGCCCATTGAATATGTGATAATTTATTATAGCTGCAATAGAAACAGAATACACATATAAACAGATCAGTTAGTGAAATAAAATAGAAAGTTAAGAAACACACTAATCTACATATGAAACTTCAGCTTGCATTCCCAAATAGTGGGCAGAGGATGGATTTCATAATAAATGATTGTCTGACAAGTGCCTGTTCACCTGCAAAATGAAATTCTTACCTGACACTATAAAAATAATAAATTTAAGAAAAATTAGAGGTTCAATTGCCAAAGGTACATTAAAAAGTAGATGGAGGCTCAGTATGGATGTGCATGTCTGTAATCTCAATCTTGGGGAGGCAGAGGCAGGACAATTGTGAGTCTATGTTTCTAGCCTGGACTACTTAGTAAGAACAAGTTTCATAAAACAAAACATAGCCAGAAATTTAGCAAAATGTAATAATTTAGTGTAAGTACTTCTTGACATAACATAAATGCTACAAACAATAAGTCAGATATATTTTAAGATCTGAAATTTTTTTGGTTTTTTTCGAGACAGGGTTTCTCTGTGTAGCTTTGGAGCCTATTCTGGCACTCGCTCTGGAGACCAGGCTGGCCTCAAACTTACAGAGATCCGCCTGTCTCTGCCTCCTGAGTGCTGGGATTAAAGGCGTGTGCAACCAACGCTCGGCAAGATCTGAAAATTAAAGTGCCATTTAAGCCAAAAAACATGATAAACTACTGCTTAAAAGGCAGATTTGGTGGGAAGGGAAGAAATATGTAACAGATGAATAGTATCTGTTCTGAGGATATAGTTGTGTTGGTAAGGGTGTTTTCCCAACATGAGTAGGTCTGGGTTTGATCCTCAAAACCCCATAAAAACAGTGAGACACGGAGGCTGGAGGATCAGGTATTTCTCAGCTACATAGTGAGTTTGAGGCCAGCCTGAGCTACATGAAACTTTTTCAAAAAGAAAATAACTTTCTAGTATATAACAACAAAATTATTATGTATGAGTAAGTAGGTATCATATTGGCATGACATACCTAGCCAATTGAATATTAAAAATAGTCAGGGCCTGGAGAGACAGATGGCTCAGTGGTTAAGATTACTGGCAGCTCTTGCTGAGGGTCTGGGTTCAAGTCCCATGACCCACACAGAACAGCCCAAACTGTAACTCCAGGTCCAGGGGATCTTATGCCCTCTTCTGACCTCTCTGTGCATAGACATAAATGCAGGCAAAACACTTATGCACATGAAAAAATTTCGGTAGTATCTCAGCATAGCACAAAAGGACTAAGAAACAAAGAATGAAAGGGAAAGGAACCCAAAGGGAATGGACAATAGATCTCAGAAATATCAACATTCATCTACTGGGATTTTCAGACATGAAGTATAAAAACAAGAATGGAGAGAAGGCACTACTTGAAGAAATAATAATCTAGAAGTTTTTGAATTTGGCATGAATCTTTGGGGGCTGGAGAGTTGGCTGAATGGTTAAGAGGACTTGTTGGATTTTTATTGTTTTTAATTTATTCTTATAAATTTTATTTAAATTAGAAACAATCTTATTTTACATATCAATTCCAGTTTCCTCTCCCTCCCATCTTCCCATAACCCTCACCAACCCCCCATCCCATCCCCCATCTACTCCCCAGGGAGGGTGAGGCCTTCCATGAGGGAATCATCAAAATCTGTCAAGTCATTTGGGGCAGGGCCTAGGCCCTCCCTTGTGTGTCTAGGCTGAGAGAGTATCCCTCCATGGGAAATGGAGAGCGTTTGTTGTTGCACACTGTGTTTGATTTCCAGTGCCCACGTAATGGCTCACAATCATTTGTAACTCTAGTTCCAGGGCATCAGATCTTATCTTCTGATCTTATCAGGCATCAGACACGCATGTGGTTCACATACATATATGCAAGCAAAACACTCATACACATAAAATAGAAAAATGATGAAAAAGAGACATGAATCTTCAAACTGAAAAAGAAACCCACCAAATTTGATCATGATTCTTTCTGTGAATCTTGATTCTCTCTGTGGGTCTCTCTGTCCCTGTTCCTGCCTGTCTGTCTGTCTGAGAGAGGGGGGAAGAAGAAGAAGAAGAAGAAGAAGAAGAAGAAGAGGAGCAGTAGGAGGAGGAGGAGGAGGAGGACGAGGACGAGGACGAGGACGAGGAGGAAGATTGTTGGGTGTAGAGGCTTGCACCAGTAGTCCCAGCTACTTTGAAGGCTGGCGCAGGAGGATTGCTTTAGCCCAGGAGTTTGAGGCCAGCCTTGAAAATATATCAAGACTCTTGGTGGTTAGAGCGTATGGTGGCAGAAAGTTCTGACAGTTTCATGTACAAACTCTGGAGCTACATTACAGGAGTTCAGAACTGGACTTTTCAACTTAACTGTATGACCTCATAAAAGTCACACCTTTTCATGTCTGAATCTACTCAAGTAAATTGGGAATACAGCAGTTAACTCATACAGCACTAGGGAGGCTGAGGCAGGAGGACCACAAATTCTAGGCTAGCTTGAGCTAGCTTCCTTGTGAGTTTGAGACTAGCCTGGGCTACCAGATGAGATAATCTCAGAAAAAGAAGTGAAGGCATTTGTGGTTCCACATAGAGATGGGGACCAGCAATCGTTGTTGGCTTCCTACCTATCCCTATAGATGGTACAGAAGATAGGTGGAGGTATTTTGATTTTCAAATAGCTACAAGAAACAAATCTTCTGTATGCGGCAGCACTAGGGATTGAACCTAGGACCTTGTATGTGCAAGCCAAGCACTTTGGCCTACATTGCCAGTCCTGTGGCAACACAATTCTTGATGGTATAACCCACATTGGGGGATGAGATGGTCTGCATGGTATCCAAAAGATGGTATCCAACTTTTTTACATTGCAACATAATATTATCGTCTGTTTTGGGCTGTATTTATATGTATCTTGGGGGGAGTTGAGGGGAGTATCTGAGAATCAACTGAGGTATTTTGTTTCTTTTAAAGATTTACTTATTATATACAGTGTTCTACCTGCCTGTATGTCTGCACTCCTGAAGAGGGCACCAGATCTCATTATAGATGGTTGTAAGTCGCCATGTGGTTGCTGGGAATTGAACTCAGGACCTCTGGAAGAGCAGCCAGTGCTCTTAACGTTTGAGCCATCTCTTCAGCCCCCTGAAGTATTTTCTGGATGACATTCTTTTCTTTCCTAGTGTTTCTGGAAAGCTCATTATCTATCTTGTAAATATCAGTGGCAAGAAACTTGGCAGGGCTAGCTCAGTGCCAAGTCAATGTGAGTTGCGGCTTTAAGGCCTAAGTAGAGCGGGACAATCTCATGGAAATCAAGGCTGACTCACACTTGAGCAATCCCTGTGAACCCATCTCTCCACCCTCTCGTGTACAATAAAACAAAATCTCACTCATGCCTGGATCCTTATACACTGAGGATGGGTGGCTAACGGAGAAGTCCTGCAAGCCTCCAGGGTGAGTCACAACAGACAAAATGAAGGGAGAGGATTGGCTGAGCTCAGCCTCAGAAACTCACTACCCTAAAAACTACCTGTTGCTGTTTTTCTTTAATTTCGGCAGTGGGCGATGAAACACGAACCACAAGACTCTACAATCCCACGTGGAGTTTATTGGAGGGATGGTGTTGGCTAACTGGGGAACAGAGATGGAATGGGGGAAGGGGTGGGTGATGAAGGAGAAGGGGGACGAAGGAGGAAGAAGAAAGGGCGAAAAGACAAGCTGTGCTCACCTAAAAAGGAAAGCTTGCACATGCGTACAGAGTCCTTACGCAGCCATGCAACATGTGATGTAGTCACAGATACAGGGCCCTTTGAGCCGTCTAAGTATCTGCCTGAATACCAGTGTGCGTACCCTACCCGTTGTCAGGGGGTAGGGTCAGCATAATGCCAGAATAGCAACAGTACCAACCTCCAACCTTTACCTATCTTCTCAGAAACAGTGAGCTGTATAGAAGAACTGGGTATGCAGATATTGGGTATGAAAAATTTGCTAAAGCAAAGAAATCAATAGAGTAGGTTGGATGTTAAAAATGAATGCAGTTGAAAAGCAGCTACTGAGTTGGGTATGGTAGCATGTACTTTTTTATCATTTTTTAAAAATTTGAATTAGAAACAAGATTGTTTTACATGACAATCTCAGTTCCCTTCTCTCTCCCGTCCTCCCCTACCATCCCCCCAACTAAAACCCTACCTATCACATACCCTTTCTTCTATTCTTCCCCTGACTCAACCTTTCTGCTCCCTCATGACCTCTGCATCCTTCCTCTTCTTCCCTTCTCATTTTCATAGCTCCCTCCCCCCTCTTCCCATACTCTCAATTTAGCATGTACTTGTAATTCCAGGATTTGGGAGACTGAGGGAGGATTGAGTTTGAGGGGAGCCTGGGTTACATAGTGAGGTCTTCCTCCTACTACTATCGCCACTATAATACACATACAAAACAATTCCTGAGCTGAAAGTCAGCCTAAAGAATTCTTTTAATAGTCATCAAGAGCCGGGGAGGTGGTGGTACCTTTAATCACGGCACTGGGGAGGCAGAGGCAGGTGGATCTCTGTGAGTTGGAGGCCAGCCTGGTCTACAGAGTGAGTTCCAGGACAGATAGGGCTACACAGAGAAACCCTGTCTTAAAAAATATACTCATCAGGAGTAAATGGAGATGGAATCAACGAAGGATAATTTAATGAATAGAGAGAAACAGGAAGTTTAAATTCAACAAATAATACCTTCATTAGAGGAGAGTAAATAATTAAATGAATAGATTAATGAATGAAAATTTCTCAGAAAAATTCAGACCTTAAGAGATTATAGCACACTGAACAGAATACACTTCTAGACCCAATGACATTTAAAGGCATAAAAAATGAAGGAAAGTAATACAGAAAGTGGCAGACCTTCTGATCAGCATGTGAGAAGCCTGGCTTCCACCCATAGGATCAAAAAGCAAAGCAAGGCAAAGCAAACAATTTCTGGGGGAAACAATATGCTATTTATAAAGAAAGAGCAAAAGAATTAACACTGGATTTCTCAGACATCATACTTGTGGGGCTCAGAATATGATGCTTAACTGGACTACAAGACCCTGGCTTTCATCCACAGAACCACAAAACGGAAGAGCTATAATAAAAGTTTTCTTTAAGCCAGGTACCAGGGGTACATGACTGTAACCTTATCTATCACTGGGGAGGGGAGGCTGAGGCAGGAAGATTATGGGTTTAAGTCAGATTGGGCTATCAAGCAAGATCCTGCCTATAAAACAAGCACAACTTTGTTAGCAAGGATACAGTGGTGTAACAGCTTAACAGTGTGAAAAGAAAATAACTTTTCAAATAGGATGGAATGAAGACAGTTAAGTCTCAAGTATGCTAGGCCTCAGAGGGTTTGTGACAGAGAAGTGTTTAAGCAGAAACATTAGCTCTTCAATTGTAAAGAGTGAAATTATGTCACTTGTAGTAAAGCAGATAGAACTAGATATTATCACGTTTAATGAAATTAGCCAGACCCAGACAGGTCTCATATGTTTGTTCCATACACGGAATTTAGATTATCTCACTTTGTAACCCTGATTGGCTTAGAACTCACTAAATAGACCAGACTGATTTCAGACTCAGAGATCTCCTTGCCCCTGACTCCCAAGTGCTGGAATTAAAGGAGTGTGCCACTATGACTGGCTGAGATCTAGATTTTTTTTCATGATTTTTTTCATTTTCTATTTTGTCTTTTGTTTTTGAGATTGTAATATAATTATATCATTTCTCCCTTTCATTCCCTCCCCTCAAACTCTCCTATATACCCCTCCTTGCTCTCTTTCAAGTGCATGTCCTCTTTTTCCATTGGAATCTAGTTTATTTTTTGTAATGCAAACTGGATGTGGTAGAACAGCCCAGTACTTGGGAAGTAGAGCCAGGAGGATCAGGAGTTCTAACCCATCTTTAGCTATATAGTGTTGGAGGCCCTCCAGGGCAACAGGAGACTCTTTTTTAAAATGTAAGTATGTACACACATAAAAGATAGGAAAATAAAAAAAGGAATATGTGGATGTCAGAAGGGGTCTAAAGAGAGGGAGGAATAAGAGAGGATATTGGGAGGGAAAACATAAATTATCCACCGAATCTAATTTAATCTATCTATCCATCCATCCATCCATCCATCCATTATCTATCCATCTATGTATCTATCTGACATGAAAACAGACACAGTTCAATTTGGTGGGGGGAGGAGAAGACCGGGAGGGTTAGAAAGGAGGATAAAGGATAAAGAAGTCATTTTAAAAGGTTGGAAATGGAGACAAGAGATAAAGAAATAAATCAATAATTTTCCATACTTACAAAAATCAATACAGACTTAGTGGTGGTGACACATCTTTTTGTTGTTGCTTTTTTTTTTTTTTTTTTTTTTTTGAAGAAGCTCTGTGTAACAGCTTTGGCTGTCTTGGAGCTCACTCTGTAGACCAGGCTGTCCTTCAACTCAGAGATCCATCTGCCTCTACCTCCAGAGTGCTGGGATTAAAGGCATGCGCTACCAGAGCCTGGCTGGTGGCACATACATCATTTAATCCCAGCATTTATGCGGCAGGAGGATCTTAGAGTTCCAGGCCAGCTTGGTCTACAGGGTGAGTTCTAGGTCAGCCAGAGCTACACCAAGAACCCTGTCTCAAACAAACAAAAACAAGCTCACTACAAATTGTTCATAAAAGGCCTTCTGAGTGGGAGGGCAGATTAGAGCCTGCCCCCAAGTGATGCAGTAAAAGAGAATAAGGATAAGAAAGAAGAGACTTCATCCTGAGAAGAGAGAGGAAGAGAAATTCACAGAGGGTGTGATGGGACAGATGGGTAGGGTGGAGAAGCTGAAGCAGCAAACAGAAGCTGCTCTCAGCCCTCGCCAAGCCCCGCCCTGGTGGGATGGAAAAATCAAGTCTCATCCCACAGGCAAGCCCTAGTCAGAAGACACTAGCTGCGCTAACCCATAGGACAAGCCAACAGCTCTTGCAAGACTCAAGTCCAGTGCTGAGTTTTGATGAGATTCTGTTGAACAGATCAGCAATGGAGAGGAATCCCATTCTCTCACTCCCTAGGACGTGGAGACCCTTCAGGGCACCATCTTGGTGGGGAACCTAATATGTAAAACCAATCTGTCAAGTTGCCACAGACTTATGATGAAAGACTCATGAGAGACAGTTGTGGAGAGCAGGAGCTGCCCAAGCTAATGCCTGGAGGCTTAGCTCAGGGAGCGAAGAGTACACTGGGAGGAGCCCTGCCCTCAGTGACTCAGAACCAATCTCATCCATTGAGAATAATTTTGGAGTTTGGCAGCTTTCAGCATGAAGTCAATGATTGGGCAGGTGCTAGAGCCACAGATCTGCAGTGAGACTCACTCCTGTAAAGACTGTGGACAGGTCCACAGCTCCAGCAGGCTCATTAATACCCAGTCCTGTTTGCAAGTATGGGGACAGGTTTGCTTGTAGAAATCTTTGTACTGTGCTTGTTTCCCCAGCTACTGACATACTTGGGGACTCCCTGAACCACCCCAACCCACGGACTGCAAAGCTGAGTGTGCCCAGCAGAGGTCTCTGGTATTTAAGAAGAGAATATACTAAAGTGAGGGAAGTTCTGGCTCAGCAACAGAATAAATCATAGGAAAGACAAGAGTCTACACATTCAACTGGCCCTCTCACCTGCATGTCCCTGACTGACTCCAGTTTTTGAAGACACAATAATAAGCGGCTATAATACTTCATTTTTTCTTTTGCTTGCCCTTGGTGTCTCCCTTTTCCTTTTACTACACTTTTAGTAGTGTTTTGACTTTATTAAAAAATATTTTACTGGGTGGAAGATTGAGAGATGACTCAGTTAATAAAGTACTTGATTGCAGGCTCAGAGACCTGAGTACAGAGATCCAGCAACCACATCAAAGCTGGGCATAGGAGATGGTGTCTTGGAACCTTGGAACTGATGGTAGGGCAGGACACCAGAAGCAATTGGCTTCTGGCCAGCCAGTCTGGCTGAAACAGTGAGCAGGAAACACCTTGTCTCAAAGAATAAAAGGAAGAAGGATAGAGTACTCACATGGGGACGCTGGAGAAGAGATCTCATTCTTCAGGTTGAGGCTCAATAGAACCATGGGTCCTGCACAGAACTTTCTTTCATTTGGTTTGTTTTACTTTGAGGTGGGTTCTCACAATGCATCCCATACTGACTTGGGACTTGCTATGTAGCACAGACAGTTATCAAACTCGGGGATATCTCTCAAGTGCTGACATTAAAGGCATGTGCCACCCCCACAGCCAGAACTTTCTGTTTTAGTGAATCAGAATGAGCAGCTTATAGAAGAGACTACAGCCAGGCGGTGGTGGTGCCCTCCTTTAATCCCAGCACTCGGGAGGCACAGGCAGGTGGATCTCTGTGAGTTTGATACCAGCCTGGTCTACAAGAGCTAATTCTAGGATAGCCTCCAAAGCC